TATATATATACATATACATATATATATATATATATATAATTTTTACCAATCAAGCATTATTATTATTATTAATAAAATAATTTATAATTTTTTTTTTCTTTTTCAATTTACCCACCATTAGCTGGTGTGGCATGAAAGATAATTTTGGACCCAGTTCACATCATTCTTCAGTTACACACACTACATACATCTTAAAAAGACTTTCATGATGTTTGGCCCGACCACCTGACACAGATTTCACAATTATGCGATCACGTCTCCTCCCCCAAACGGCCCTTCATAATTCAGAGGCTCAGTTCATCTCCCCGACGGACCGCGTTCAGTTCAAGCAATCTCGCCTAAATAATTGATGCGGGTTTCATGAGAACGGGCTCTGCCCTCATCAGCGCTGGATTGTTAAACTCGTCTGAGTGGGACCGAGTGTCCGGTGTAAGTGGCGAATCAAAGGGACGCCTCTTGTGGCAGATGGGGCCTGACGGGCACGTTTTGCTCTCCAAATGGCCCCAGATTGTCCCCATTCATAATTAAGCAGCCGTTAAAGAGCGCTTCATGAATTATGAAAGAGGATCGGTAAGATCTCCCTCCGGCTGAATGGACGGATCTAATGAAGTTCCTCAGGCACAAACCTCAGCTTATTATGTGTTTATTTGCTCATCTTCCTGCTTAACCAGTGCAATCAAACCAGTGCTATGTGTTCCTCAAGTTACATGAAAACCAAACCTCATGCACGTATAATGAAAGTCTATGAGACAACACACTGCAGGAGGCTTCATTTACTCCTCATACTCGAGCTGATTAATCAAACTCCATCATAAGACGCAAATGAACAAGATTATATAAGATTGTTTGGCTGATTTATATTTCGCATATCTGAGCATATGATTCTGACACAATATTCTGTCAAGGTTTGATTTGTGTCTTCAACAGAGCAAGACATGATGGAGCCAACAAATCATTAGCATGATGGCATTTTTCATTAAGAGGTTGATTAATGCAGTGCTTCATTCACATAGCAGTGGTTTTTAATTTACCATTAAAAGTTTACCTGGGATGCCTAAAAAGTTTGTTTTAATACAAATAATTTAATTTAAATATAATTTATTTGAACAATAATGTAATAATTTAAAATGTACTTATAAAATGGGTTTATTTTTAGATAAAAATAATGTTTATATAAAATGCAGTTCAATAATTTAATTAAAAATAATTAATTATTAAAATAATTATTTTAATAAAAATGCAATAACGTGGGATATTCCTACTTTATTTTTCATAAATAATTATTAAATTATTATTAATACATTATTAGAATGAATAAATGATAATATATAAATGATTAATTATACATTTTA